ATATATATATATATATATTTATATCTGCATAGTGTGACAAACAACTTTTTTAGGGATGCGTGAGAGTCACTTAGATACAGTTTAAAGGGGACTTCATCGTCTAAACGCCCAAAGTCTATCACCAAAGTATTTCCACCTTTATATAGTAGACGACTATATACATGCGTACTCTGTTGTTCCAAGATCAGTAAAAGTGCCAAAAGCAAGCCGTGGGCATATGTAGTAAACAGATGTATTGAGAGAAAGTCAGGAGGAGTGAATAGTGAGGGTGAAATGGAGAGACCACTATCGAGATCTGTGCCGTATCTGACCCGAGAAGTTGACGTGAACTGAATCGCATACCTTGTACGGCCTAAATGGTTTCGTATTTGTTTGTACTTCACGGCATTCTCTGACAGTGTCCAATATGCAGTTTCAAACATTTACAAATCATGTGAAAAATACCACAGCGACCTTGTGAAGATATATTGATATCGCATCACAATTCCTGGTAAGTATAATAGTGTGGATTAGCCTTTTTGGTTCACTACAAAAGTATGAGGAATTAGAGCACGATTTAAATACCTTTTTTTTCTTAGCTACTCTGATGATGTAAGGGAAGTCCACTTCGGTAAGGTCTCAGATGATCGAGTGCACGACTTCCCAAACACCACATCGGGAACTATTCCATCCCAAGTGAGTGTGGGATTAAGATGCGCAAGATTTTCTCCAGAGTCTAATATCGGAAGGTGCTCATGTTTAGATGCGCAACTGGTAGGTGAAGGTCCGGTTGTATTTACAAACTCCTTGACACAAGTGAGAACGGCCCCCGTGTTGTCATCTGATGAGCGGATACAATAGTAGTGACAAGCGTAGTCCTCTGAAAAAAGATATGAATGAAGATCAGCAAGGTGGGACTACAATGGTAGCAAGAGAGAACAATACTAGAAACGTAATCTGATTAAAATTTTATTAATAGACGACTGGTATGAGTGTACTATGCAGTTGGAGGTCCAGTCTTAGACACCTGAAAGTCTTAGACCAAATGGTATACGAGCTAACCATCTTCACAATCTGTATATACTTGCGCTAACATTACGCACACAGGTGGTTCTATAGTACCTCTTATGAAGTATATGTACCTTGAGCTGAATAGTCGCGTAATGGCACATACCTCGAGAAACCGAAACGTTGTATGCCATGAGACCTAATTCTCGTTCCAGTTTCAAGAGCCCGTCAGCTAGCAAAGGAAGGCAAAACAGTACTTGTTAGCTGTCACTACAAACCAGGGATGCAGATACTGTCGCTTGACTCGAGAATATTCATTGCAGTAGAAACATCGACGAGGGGCAGGTAAAGACACGTATGTGATACTCAGACATATTGAGCGAGCATATCGTCTCAGACGAATCGAAACCGGTCTAAATAACACAAAGCAGTGATATAGCAAAGTACAAAAGAAATGCGACTCTTTTATCCGGGTATTTCCTGTATACTACATATAATATGTGAAATTGCACCGGCCAAATGCTCAGTGCCAATATACATGTTGATAATTTCCGGCTCACCTGCAAGAGCCGGCAGTACGAGCTTGAAATCCGAATTGTGCACAGGTATGTCGATCCACACCTTGCTAACTACAATTGATGTGCCGATAACGATGCGCTTCCACGTATGATTGTGAATACGCAGCCCGATGCGAACAATTAATCTCGAAATGAAGATCGAAACAATCAGCATACTCTGTAAGATCGAAAACGACGGATGGGAAATTATAAATATTAAGTGACCTTTCCGACTGCTGTATATCACTCGAGGAAGAGGCATATATTGGCTTTAACCACATTGATAGTACAACGGGCTGCAATCATTTAAAGCTTCGTTGGCCACTTCATCTATTGCAAGCATCTGTGCAAAGCAAATTTCGCATGACCACAGACGGTTTACCCCAGCAGTAAGCTTGGCTGCTCCGCTAAAGGCCACCAAAAATCTTGTGATATTCTCCTGGTCGATGCATCGTTCTTTGTAATCTTCAGGCAGTTGAGCTTTCTGAACGTCGAATTTGAAAGAAAACAAACAGCTCTGGTCTGAAGGGCACAATCATAAATGAGCGAAGCGCATGATTTGGCAGGTAGAAAAATTGCACGAGCGCATATGAGTACCAACTAATCAAATATAGGACACAATATATGCAGGAGGTCAGGGTTTATGGCGGGAACAATCTAAATAGAAGTGAAAAAATGGTATGTAAGGCTATACCTGCCGGATACTCGTACCATGATTGGATGTTCAGTTTCATCAAATATACCCGATCCTGCCGTGTCGCCTTTAGTCTGGGTAAGTACGATCTGTTCATGTATAGCTTTACTGAGACTGGTGAAATGATACGAACAAACAAATTAAATATCATCAGTGTGAAGGAGATATGGTAACACAAAAATTGATTGATAGCTTATGGTCTTCAGAGAAAGATGAATAATTGCAATCAACTGGGCCGCTTCACCTGCAACCTATAGTTAGCGAAATGAATTCACGAGTCGTCTCAAAACATCGTCAAACTTCTATCACGTTTGTCTCAATTTTTGTTGCAAACAAGCAATAGCGGAACTTAGCGCAGAGGAATACACACAAACCGCTCAGTATACAACAATTAAGTAGCGAACAACGCCTAGATATGCATGCCAAACATACGAGTTGATGATCATAGTCATATCAGGTTCCTCGAGACACCCAGCATCGTCAGCAGCTGTGGACTTTCCGATACCACTTACAACTTCTGCCATATTTTGCCTCAATTCCTTGGCATCTTTGATATAGGCAGTCGATAAAGACCTCTTGACGCAAGTACTCCCCTTGAACGATTCACTAGAAATAGTTGCCACACAGGGGACTGCTTTGAGCGATATCCCAGCACATAAAGCGCATATTCTGATACGTAAGCATACATGTGCATGTCTTGTATATCAGTTTAAATGCGGATAGACATATCAAGTCCTCATGTCTCTCTACAACACCTAGATTAGACTGCGGGGTGGCTATACTCAAGCTGAACGTTTACCACATTCACATAAGGTGCTCTAAACACCACCGAACTATTCGTTAGAAGTCCCCAACATATATCAAAATATTTTAAATAATTCGAAAACACTTTACAATAGCACAGAAGCTGAGATAGATTTTGCTTGTGGTGATTCCAGGAGGTCACACGGACCTTTAATATGCTCCGCGAGGCAGCTAGATCGTCATGTATACACGATACAAATCACAATCTGTGACAAGTTTGTGAATTCAATTGGTCTTATACTGGAATCGAACGTCGGCAGAACCAGTCACGGACCCACCAACCAGTTCCACGAGTTGATAGCAGCCTCATTGACATCACATAAACTTGAAGTTGGTTTAGGGGCGCATGGCACTGAATTGACTATATAATGGTAAAGATAATGTACCAAAGTATACACCACAAAAAAAGCTACTAACCCACCTGTTAGACGTCGTTAACGGTAGATTTTTGTACAGATAATTCGCAAAGCGTTGCCTAGCCAATTGTTCGGAATCGATGCCCACATAGAAATTCAGTGACGTCAACGATAGCGAGTCCATATCACGCCGGTGATGCAGTACAACTTTCCGAGATGATTGAGTCAGTCTCCTGAGTGCTTTGTCGTTATGTTGAGATATATGTTGAATTGTGTATGTCCGCGCAAGGTCACACCCCGTAAGACGTTTGAGCCGTCTTCGAATTCTATGTTCAATTGTGAGGTGCGTATGTAGCCCTCCATGCGACCTCTAAGGTCTTGGGAGGAGTAGGCCTCGTCTGAGTAGAGTGATGCCGTCTCCTGTGCAAATGAATACAAACCACTACAATTAAAAAACGAATTTTCTGTACACACAACTAAATAGTACTTGATGTGTGTTGTAGTATACGGTACTGATGGCAAGCTCAAGGCAGTCTCCTAAGCCAGCTGAACATCTTTGATTTTCAAGTGTTATTTTGAAAACCTCTCTACGGCGGAAACAATCCATTCGCTTCTGATATCGAGTTAAGCACACTGCAGAATAGGCACAGCACGGAAGGATATCAGACGGTATTAGGGAAATAAATGCACAATATATACAGCCAAAAGTTGCCAGCTTCCGTAAATGTGCCATGAAACATACAAGTATGCTCGGTTCCGGGCCTGGTGGTTCCACATGCTCTACCTCATCCAAGTAATCGTTTAAAATAGGCTCAACATTGTCATTACTGTGGCGTCGCCGAAGCCAGTTGTGTAATTTTCTCCGCCGTTTTGCGGACAATTCGACACCAAGATCATCCGAATCGCTGCAAAACCGCATCAATTATACAGTATAGCGGTTGAGTATCAATAAAGACTTTCCAGGTCTGAGTAGAGATATCAACACGTATATAGATATTATATATATATATATAGTAGATACGCTTGCTCAGGTGTGTTCATATTGAAACTCAGAATATACATCGTACATGGTCGAATGTATGCTCACACGCGCACAATACTATAATGCAAATGCTTGTGTATGCACAGCTCTACAGTTTTTAAATCGCCCTGGTTTCTCATATCAGCGTAGATAAATACATATATGTTTCTATAGTCAGACGTTATCATTCATACAATTTTGATTCATCGGTGTAGATTGCTCCTACTTCGTACTTGAAGACTCTGAGCTTTTGTCTCAGTTTAGATTGCCCTTTTGTTTCTTTCCGGTCCAACATTCCACCAGCATCAGTCTGATCATGCGAAGCACGATGAAGCGCGAGTCTTCCCAATAAGGAACTTGTTCGTTTAGGTCTATGAACCCCTTCCCCCCACCAGACGAAGTGGAGTCGCGAGAAGACGCTGTACCAGATAACCGCTGCAGCAGCTGTCCCGTGGTACTTCTAGCGTGATGCAATGATTCTTTATGCAAAAAGCCTTCCTTTGAATTACTACACGACCCCTTAGGTTTTATATTATCGTGAGGCGGGGTATTTACAGCTGATATCTCCAGTGCTGAATTAACGCCACTCCCTTGCGAAAATCCAGTTGTTGGAAGAGCAGCGGCCTCATCACGCGATCCCTCATTCTGATCCATATTCCGCCTGGGTATCTAAGGTAGTAAAGGCACCAACATCAGAGCTCTACTAGACTGGCATATGATTGGAAGTGTAGTTATGTTGAAGCAGGTGTGAAGCATCTACGCATCTTTTGCAGAGGGCACCACCACGTTAGACAATTATATACTCTTTGCAGCACATATTTTAATTAAATATGAATAGCTTTAAGACCGACCCAAGGAGTCACAATGACAAGAGACTGCATCACGGTATACCTTTAAATACAGCAGTATACCTTTAAATACAGCAGTATACCTTTAAATACAGCAGTGTTTAATTGTTCAACACGCCAAGACTGGTTCAATATTCAATATAAATACGTGTTGCTTCCATCATGAAATGATGAAGGTAGAGCTGGAAATTAATAGTTTTCACCAGTTAAATCGAGGTTGCAATTTGAGCGCCAATATTAGTGGTAGCTATTTATAGATGTGTTTGCTTTATCTTTTCAAAGCAGCATTCTTTTCCACATATATTATTTGGAAATAAAAAGATCGGCTTTTTATATTTTATTAAATATATCACACAGTCACACACTCTGAGAGACTGAGACATACGTGTTTTACAAATTTTAAACTCTCTCTTTTATCAAAGGGGTTCCCCAAAGAGTGTTTTCTTTGTTGGTCAGCAATATGAAACGTACACTGATATGCCAACTTTTAAGGATCATCTCATCTGCATTCCTATCCACAGAGCCTACTAGCTAGTGCCGGCGCGTATGATATCATTATCGCGGTCACATACGTATTATATACCTCTTTATAGAGCGTACTAGCTACTCATATTTCTATTCGCCCAGTCAATTTATACAAGATGTTGAAACGAAGAAAGTCGCTTTCTATGCCCAATCTCGTAGAGATGGATGGTAGTGCAGACGTTCCGCTTAACACGCATGAACAGCAAGCACAGAAAATGTACGAGCAATGTTTACAAAAAGCAAAGACTGAACAGCAGCCACTCGGCGATGAATATGACGATATCCAGAACTTCCACATGCAATACCAGAGGCATCAGCGGAAGGCTGAACTCCAACAACAACACTCGACCAGTGCTACCTACCAACAGAACCAAGCGCAAACCCAACTACAAGCCCAAGAGTTAGCTCAGGCACAACAGATGCAGCAAATGCAACAGTTCCGGTCGCCACAGACTTTCGAACGGCCCAGGGGAGAGGGTAGGGTAGTGCATAGTAAAAGCTCAAACCTTGCCAGTGCCTCAGGTGCCTTATATGACGAGATGTTCGACATGCAGAACTCATTGCGGAAGACCTCAATCTCAGATATAGAAATACCCGAGGCCAATTGGACGTTTAATTCACTACAGCACTACCTGGAAGATAGTGTACAGTCGCCGGGAGATATGGATGATATTAATAGCATGTTGGCCACCGGGTCTAACTCACGGGCGGCCAGTGATGGGAGTGCGGGTCTGATGGGTCCTGGTAGTCTGAATCAGAACACTCTGAATAATACAGGCTTTGCACAGCCGCATTCGCCGGGTCTGACCCGAACAAACTCACGAAGACTGGTGTCACCAAATAGCCTTGGACAACTGTCGCTGTCACACTCGAACGGGGGCGGCGGTAAAATGTACTCAAATCACAGTTCGGGAGGCCTGAGCTCGAGTATGGACGCTTTCTCCATGGATTTACAGTCACAGAATCAGTCTATATACAGGCAACATCAGCAACGGCAAGCGAGTAGTACAAATGGTCCCCCATCGGGCCCGCAAAGCACGAGCGCCTCCACAACTCAACTTCAACAAACATTCAACACTGAGCAACCTGCGCACCAATCTCCCTCGTACTCCACATCAAACCTACCTCGAAGACCCGAGCTATCCAGTAGCACGTCAAGTATAGTGAGTGGTACCCCACTTGGGCGAGCCACATCGAATGCAGGTCCACCGGTATCCGCTACACTCAGCAGTAGCAGTTTGCTGTCCTTATCAAATAATTTTGCTAGCACCGCGCTATCGCCATTCGGAGATATACGAGAAGAGAACGAAGGTATGCAATGAAAATATGTGAATGAGAGCATCGACAGGTAATAATGAATACATAGTTGTATGCGAACACACACATACACACACACACACACACACACACACACACATATATATATATATA